GGAGAGGGTGAGACCCCCGCGGCAGGGGACACGGGGGGACACGGGGGGCACCGACACCGGAGCCGGGGTGTCCCCAGGGAGGCCGGAGCCGCTGCCAGGGGACACCGGGGGACACCGGGGACATCGGGAGGACACAGGGGGACACCGGGGGGACACCGGGGGACAGCAGGGGACACGGGGGGACACGGGGGGCACCGACACCGGAGCCGGGGTGTCCCCAAGGAGGCCGGAGCCGCTGCCAGGGGACACCGGGGGACATCGGGAGGACACCGGGGGACAGCAGGGGACAGCAGGGGACACCGGGGGGACACCGGGGGGACACCGGCCGGCGCTAAACTGGGGCCAGCCCGCGCCCGCTCGTCCCTCGGGCCGCTCCCGGTGCCAGCCCTGGCCCGGAACCCTCCGGTGGCACCGGCCCAAAGCCGCCCCGGAGCGGGCAGGGCGGCCCGAGGGGAGCGCGGGGGGCACCGGGGGCACCGGGAGCGGCGCCGGGAGCGGCGCCGGGGGCAGCGGGGGACAGGGACAGGGACAGGGACAGGGAGGGGACAGGGACAGGGGCAGTGCCGTGGTGGCAGTGCCAGGGCCACGGCGGTGCCATGCGGTGACAGCGGCGGTGACACGCTGGTGGCAGCGATACGGTGGTGGCAGTGGTGGGGACAGTGGCACGGTGGCGCGGGTGACACTGGCGGTGACACGGCGGTGGCACTGACAGTGACAGTGGCACAGCGGTGACAGTGCCAGTGCCAATGCCATGGCAGTGACACGGTGGTGGCGGTGGCACTGACAGTGACACGGTGGTGGCACTGACACAGCGATGGCAGTGGTGGTGACAGTGCCATGGCAGTGTGGGTGACACTGGCGCTGATACGGTGACAGTGACAGTGGCACAGTGGTGGCACTGACAGTGCCAGTGCCATGGCAGTGACACGGCGGTGGCACTAACACAGTGGTGGCACTGACAGTGACAGTGACAGTGGCACAGTGGTGGCACTGACAGTGGCACTGGCGCTGACACGGCGGTGACAGTGACACGGTGGCGGTGGCACTGACGGTGCCATGGCAGTGACAGTGGCAGTGGCGGTGGCGGTGGCACGGCGGTGACAGTGCCAGTGCCAATGCCATGACAGTGACACGGTGGCGGTGGCACTGACGGTGCCATGGCAGTGACAGTGACAGTGGCAGTGGCGGTGTCGCGCAGCCTCATCTGCGTCCCTCCGCCATCTGTCACCGCCCGGTGCCAGCGCTGCCACCGCCGCCACCCCTTCGCTGCCGGGGCGGCCGCGGGGACACGGCCGGGGGACAGGGGGGGCCCGGGGGTGGCACTGCCACCCGGCACGGGGGGGACAGCGCGGGGGGCAGAGGGGGCGCGAGCCCGCCGTGTCCCCAATGTCCCCCCCTGTCCCCAATGTCCCCCCCTGTCGTGTCCCCCCCGGCCGCAGATGGAGCGGGGGTGACACGGGGGGAGGGGGTTGGTGGCATGTCGCGACAGGCGGCGACACCGCGGAGTGTCACCTGGCAGCCCCGGAGGAGCGGGAAGGGCAGAAGCCCCGAAATGGGGCAAAACCGGCACAGGCAGAGGGGGGGGGGGGGGGCGGGGGGAGGGGGTTGGTGGCATGTCGCGACAGGCGGCGACACCGCGGAGTGTCACCTGGCAGCCCCGGGGGAGCGGGAGGGGCAGAAGCCCCGAAATGGGGCAAAACCGGCACAAAATGGGGCAAAACCGGCCCAAAATGGGGGAAAAAAAGCCCCCAAAAATTGAGGCAAAACCGGCCCGAAATGGGGAAAAAAAAAGCCCTAAAAAATTGGGGCAAAACCGGCACAAAATGGGGCAAAACCGGCCCGAAATGGGGAAAAACTGGAACAAAATGTGGAAAAATCGGCTCAAAATGGGGCAGAACCGGAACAAATTGGGGCAAAACCGGCACAAAAATGGGGCAAAACCTGCTCGAAATGGGGGAAAAACGAGGCCCCCAAAAATTGAGGCAAAACCGGCACAAAATGGGGCAAAATCTGCCCGAAATGGGGAAAAGCTGGAACAAAATGTGGAAAAATCGGCCCAAAATGGGGCAGAACCGGAACAAATTGGGGCAAAACCGGCACAAAAATGGGGCAAAACCTGCTCGAAATGGGGGAAAAACGGCCAGAAATGGGGAAAAAAGGCCCCCAAAAAATGGGGCAAAATCGGCACAAAATGGGGTAAAACCGGCCCGAAATGGGGCAAAACCACCCACAATGGGGCAAAACGGGGCAAAACTGCCCAAAATGGGCCAAAATCGGCACAAAATGGGGCAAAACCGCACAAAAACGGGGCAAAAGTGCCCAAAATGGGGTAAAACAGCCTGAAATGGGGCAAAACCGCCCAAACTGGGGCAAACCCACCCACAATGGGGCAAAACCGCACAAAAACGGGGCAAAAGTGCCCAAAATCGGGTAAAACAGCCTGAAATGGGGCAAAACCGCCCAAACTGGGGCAAACCCACCCACAATGGGGCAAAACCGCACAAAAATGGGGCAAAACCGGCACAAAATGGGGCAAAACCGGCCCGAAATGGGGAAAAACTGGAACAAAATGTGGAAAAATCGGCTCAAAATGGGGCAGAACCGGAACAAATTGGGGCAAAACCGGCACAAAAATGGGGCAAAACCTGCTCGAAATGGGGGAAAAACGGCCAGAAATGGGGAAAAAAGGCCCCCAAAAAATGGGGCAAAATCGGCACAAAATGGGGTAAAACCGGCCCGAAATGGGGCAAAACCACCCACAATGGGGCAAAACGGGGCAAAACTGCCCAAAATGGGCCAAAATCGGCACAAAATGGGGCAAAACCGCACAAAAACGGGGCAAAAGTGCCCAAAATGGGGTAAAACAGCCTGAAATGGGGCAAAACCGCCCGAACTGGGGCAAACCCACCCAAAATGGGGCAAAACCCACCCAAAATGGGGCAAAACCGCACAAAAATGGGGCAAAACCGGCACAAAATGGAGCAAATCCCCCCAAAACGGGGCAACCCCCCCCCAAACGCCCCCCGCCCGCCCCGGCCCGGCTCGGGGCCCGGTTGCAGCGGCCGAGGGGGAAATCGGGACCCCCGAGCCCCGCGGAGGGCGGGGGGGGGCTCAGCCCATCCCCCCCGCCCCGGGGAGGCCCCGGGAAGGTTTTGGGGCGATTTCGGGGGATTTTGGCGGCGCTCCGCGCGGCTTTTCGGCGGCTGCCGAGGCCTGGAAGCCATTAGGGGCTGCCCCCCCCCTCCGGGGCCCCGCCGGAGCGGCCGGGGGGGCT